GTCATCAGACAGCAATTCTGGTCACCTGACTCCAGCTGCAATTGTTCTCCTGCTGTCTGACTGCTCCTGCCTGTACAGCCATGCAGCCCAGGCAGGAGGAAACTGTTTTGATTTAACACTGGGAGTCTTCATATCTACAAACAATATCCACTTGAAAGATGGAAATAAACAAACTCTTTCTTTCACTGTATCTTCAGAGCTCCTTTACTCCTTGTCACAACATCATTTCTCTCCAAAAAGCTCAAAATTCAAGCTTAGGCTCAGGCTTGGTGCATAAAAACAAAGTTTGTTGATCAGAGCTTTCAACATTCAAAAGAGTAGATGGTCTGATGTATTATCCCAGCAAGTAAATGGGAAAAAACAGGCTATGGGTTTGTCCATGAAATCAGACTAAGGTAAACCAGAGCATCCTTCCCAGAATACAAGCATCTGCTCATAAGCAGTACAGGAGGCAGCTCCACAGTTTAAACTCCCTCTTTCACATCCCTTTTAACTTCCAGCTGTGAACAAACTAAGGGAAAAGCCAACCCCAAAGCCAAGCCCTCCCTCCTCCCACCCACCACGTGCTGTGCCTGTACCTCAGAGGTGATGTCGATGAGAGTTTTGCGTGGGAGATCTCGGAGGTGTGTTTGGTGGTTTGTCAGCTGCTGGAGAAGCTGGATGCTCTCCAGCAGAGCTTTCCGGTCCTAGGAAGGAAAGATAAGCCAAAAACAGAGGATGTGTTTCAGAGATTAAGCTGAAGGCTCAGGTAATAATCCACTCTTGAGATATTTATGCCTACTTCTAATAAAAACATAGACAATTGTTTGCTGATAGACCACTCATCTTTTCCCAAATTGGTGTTTTCCGGCAATATACAAACAACAGATCCCTTCTTTCCAGGAGAGGTAGGAACCTCCTGTACTACTTGACACACTTCCTACATTCTAGTCAGGAACAGACATTTAAAAGGCACAAAAAGTCCATGAGCAATGCAACAGAAAAGAACTGAACTCGATGCTTCAAGTCCTGTTGCGTCGATGAGCCAATGACCCTTTCTCTGTGGATCCTCTTTCCACACCAGACAGCCCCAGAACCAGAACTGACACACCCAACAGCAGCGCTACCTTCACAAGCCGCCCAGACTGGAACAGAGCCATAACTCCAAAGAAGTTCCCAAAAGCAGCATTTCTCACAAGTTTCTGAAAAGAAAAAAACAAAACAGAAAAGGGATTAAAAAAACCCTTCAGTTAGATTTCACATCCAGCTACAGCTCTGCCATAGGGAGGTAACACACTGAAAAGCAACTCCCTGCATGGTATTTAAGAACTGTCCTAGATTACCTTTTCATCACACAGGCAAATCTCAGCTAAAACAGGGCCAAATGACAATGTCATCAACTTCCAGTTTTCACAAATATTTCTGTTATTTCATTAGAGTCGTTTGTTTTACCAAGAACTCCAAAACTACAGTATACACCAAGACTTCAAAGAACAGAAAACAATTAGTTTGAAGCAGCAGTTGGCAAATGCCATGAGCTGACTCACCTTTTTCACTTTTTCCAGATTGTGTTTTTCTTTTATCTGTTCCAGGACACTGCACAGTGGAATTTCCTCAAAAGTCTGTAAAACCTGAGGAGAGAGATGGAATAGCTCATTTTACAACTCTTCGTTTTCATGAAGTTTTATTGGGTTGAGCTAAAATAGAGCTGAACAGTTGTTCAGCATAGCAGCAGATGTGCTGCTTTATTAGGCCAGAATAGAGACAACCAGATCAGTAAAGATGTGTCAGAACAGGAACTAGGCTGGGGGAGCTGGGGGGGTTCACTTGGAGAAGAGAAGGCACCAGGGAGACCTTAGAGCCCCTTCCAGTGCCTAAAGGGGCTCCAAGAGAGCTGGAGAGGGACTTGGGACAAGGGCCTGAGGGGACAGGACAAAGGGGAATGGCTTCTTACTGCCAGTGGACAGGGTTAGATGGGATATTGGGAAGGAATTCTTGGCTGTGAGGGTGGTGAGGCCCTGGCACAGGGTGCCCAGAGAAGCTGTGGCTGCCCCATCCCTGGAAGTGTTCAGGGCCAGGTTGGACAGGCCTTTAAGGTCCCTTCCAACCCAAGCCATTCTGTGATTCTGTGCAGACACAAATATACCTGCTGATATTAATTTTTTGTTTGTTTGTTTCCCTGTACATGACATGACAGACGAATAATGAGCACATTTTACTGCAACTGCCAGATCCTGTAACAGAAGCAATGAAACTTTTCAGCATGGGCAAGGCCTTGATGGAAGTGGGAAGAACACAGGCTTTTCTGCTTTATGAACTTCTCAGGTCAGAACTTCTTAGCTGAGGTCAGATCTCACTGGTGACCCCAACTCCTGGGACTCTTTGCCATGTTACAGACTCCACCAGCACGGAGGGAAAAAACCACAGATTTAAGAAATCACAGTAGCACTAAATGCAGCATATTTGAAAACCTGGTCAAAGTTTGCAAATTGGGGGTGGCTCTTGAAGCAGGACAGAATTCTGTGGAATGAATACGCTACTGGTATAGTTTATAACTTTATAAGTGCGTTGTTCCTAGAGCGGACTAGGACCATTTAAAACCAGTTTTCTATTATGAGAGCCTTCCCCTGCCATGTGCACGCAGAGTTGGCAGAGGGGACCCCAGGAACTGACCGGGGGCTGCAGAGCGCTGGGAAACACTGACCTGCGCCAGGGCCAGGCTGAAGCCAGGGCGGGCGGCCTCTCGAGTGGCTCCCAGTCCCTCCACCAGCCGCTTCAGGGTGTACTTCAGCTCATCGTCCTGCAAGACAGACCCAGATGAGCCGATGGCTGCCCGCGCCCGGCCCGACCGGGGCCGCCCGCACTGACGCGCTCGCAGGCGGGAGCGGAGGGACGAGCCGGGCTCGGGGGTACCCACCCGCCCCCCCGCAGCCCCTCGGGCCGCCGTCTCACCTTCTTGCCCTGCCGCAGGTGCTGCAGGAGGTTCTCGGTGGCCGCCAGCCGCACCTCCTGCTCCGGCTTGGCGATGTCCCAGAAGAAGTCGAGGAAGGCGCGGCCCTGCCGCAGCACCCCGCGGGGGTCGGTCACCCCGCCGCCCCGCTCCTCCATCCCCTCCATCTCCTCCGTCCCCGCCATCCCGGCCACGCCGCCGCCGCTGCCGCACGTGGGGCCGCCCGCCCGCTCCGCCTCTTCCGGGGCAGCAGCGGGACGGGCTCGGCCGCCGTGTGAGCCGCGGCCTCACAGGCCCGGCAGCTCCGCGCTGCCCTCACAGCCCGCTCCCCTCACAGCCCCGCTCCCTCATGGCCGCCCCTCACAGCCCGCTGCCCTCACAGCCCCGCTCCCTCATGGCCGCCCCTCACAGCCCGCTCCCCTCACAGCCCATTCCCTCATGGCCGCCCCTCACAGCCCTCTCCCCTCATGGTCGCCCCTCAGCGCCGCTCCCCTGAGCGTCCCCTGTTCCCCGCACACCCCGCTCCCTTCAGCCCCTCATCCCACAAAACCAAGTTCGTTTCCCCGCTGTGCAACAAACCAATAACGACACAACTCGACAGACACGTTTATTTATTCCAGAGCTGCGCAAGCCCCCGTGGTCGGTGTGTTCCACAAACACCAGACTTTTGGCGCCATTATTTATACAGAGAAATTCAGTTAGTAACTTTTTAAATACACCCCGACTATTACGATTTATTATTAATTTCCATGCAAGTCACATAACCCCAAGTAACCTCTTTACATGCTCAGGGGACGTGTCTTCACCTGGGCAGGGTCTTTTTGACCTGTGATTTTCAGTATTATAATGAACATAGGTCAGCTATAGGATACATTTTAGGATTTTGCCAAGTTAGCAATGTATACATAGACACACATCAACATCTTGTTTTAATACATCCTTAAGGCTTGTCACTTCCAGGATGTCCTGGGATGCTTCTGCTGCCTGTTGCTCTCATTAGGTCTCCTTTCTCGATGATTAGGTTGAAAGTGTACAAAGATCTTACATCAAAGAACATCCTGACTTCAAGTAATCTTGAAATATTTCACATTTTGCAACAGCCCCACTCCCCTCAGGGCCATGTTCCCAACCCTCAGCCCAGCACTGCCGCAGGACTCGTTCATCCCATTCTTGCTCCAAGGGATCCCTGGGCTCCCCTCACCTGGGCTCTCAGTTCTGGAGGGAATTTTGGATCCTTTCCCCCGAGGCTCAGTGGGGGCAGAGCGTGTGGGGTGAGCAGGGCATGGCAGCCATGCAGGGTTAAGGCAGACACAAGGTGTGGGCACAGTTGTTGTATAAGAATCTGTCATTTAGTTTTATTATAAAAACTGAAATAATGGTCTGGGAAAAGCAGACAAACCAGTTGGTGCAAATGGTACTTTTTAAGGACACAGGTCAGCCCACCGTCTTTATTTACAGTAAAATCCAGCACTATCCTCCACTGCCCTTCCAGGCTCCCATGCCAGCCACGGGACTGCAGGGAATGAACGTGACCCCTGGAGCAGGATCCATCCCTGTGATCCCTGGAGGAATATGACCCCTGGAGCAGGATCCATCCCTGTGATCCCTGGAGGATGAATATGACCCCTGGAGCAGGATCCATCCCTGTGATCCCT